AAAACAAACAAATGTGGTTGGTTTGTGGGTTTTTTCCCCAGAACTCTCCATTACTTAAGTCTGTGACAATCCACACTATACGTAAAAAGTTTCCTGACTTGTCACAGTTTTCACTTGAACTAGCTGTTTCTCAGTGATTACATCTACCAGAATGTTCTAGTTGTTTTTGTTTTCAGTAATCATCAGACTATGGCCTGAAAACCATGAGAAGATGTCATTATCTAACAAGTCAAGTTAAAGGAGACACCTTCCTCCAATCTCCGAAAGAAACACTGAAAGACATTTTAAAACTCCATATTCTCTGTTACCTCTTATGTTGTCCACCATGTAATTACTAAAATTCTGAAAGATAAGTGGTAGAAGACTTCTCTACTATACATACTTTAGTAAGAATGAGTTACTGTAGAATGGAGGCTTATTCTACACAGCAAAACAAAAGCTCTCTTGCTCTAGCAGCACAGTGCAAATACTTGCTTACCTATCTACATTTAATTTCTTAGAAGGTGGATTTGAGAAAACAGGCAATGAGTAATTTTTGCAAGTGAGAAAGCAGAATAACCTGGCATATGCTGCTGTAACAAGTCAGTAAAGCATTTGAAAGAATATTGCAGTTAGCACTGTTAAGGGGTTGCATCCTTATCCCACTCAATTAAGAGATTAAGGAGAAGGAATTAATCCCATAGGGATAATGGTCTCAACAGAAGTACCATTTAATAAAGAGAAATGGAGATAGAGTGCTTGGGAGACATGCGTTTCTAGCAGATAGGTTCTAAGTGCCATCGTGGGAAATACAGATAGAAGCAACTCCTTAACTGTTGATAAAGGTCATTGTATCAACTTAGGAACGGTAAAAATAAATATTATCTACTGTATAAATATTATACCCTTAAGATCTTACTCCTCTGTAAGTTGCTAAATTTCATGTTCTAATTATCTTAATGGCCTAAGAAATACAGTGACTTCAAGAATTTGGAGGATTGAGGAATCATATATATAGTAAATATCTCATCTTTCAAATGAACTGTCACCCTAAACAGTAGTAAAAAGCTGATAAAAATTCCAAAATTAACATTCACTTATCATTAGTTGCTTATGAATGCAACTAGAACACTTACAGTACCAGACAAGAGTGTTTTCATTAGCTCAAGGCATTATAACTGCTTAAAAATATCATCAGTGTTATATAGCTACTGGCTTGTCTCACAGAACTTAGCAAAGAATCATTATCCCATTTTGTAACAATAAAAAGCAAAATACATAGATGCTCCACATCTTCTAATAAGCGAAGGGCCATAAAAGACATAGCCAGTAGCCAGGATTACCTTCAATGCATCACAGCCAACTACTTATTGCTCAACTTATTTATTTGCATAGCATGGCTGGTATACATAGCCAAATTCTCAATAACAAAGGAAACAAAAAAATAGTTCAAGGTCAAATTATTGTTTAGAAATAGCAAGGAGTCAACTGTGAAAATGAAGTTCCCACTTTCCAAACCTATTTTTGCCCCCCCCCCCCCCTAGTTAACACAGCTACATTAATGGAAAGTATATGCTAATTCTTCTGAACAGACTCTTTCAGCAGAAGTATCTCAGCAGCAAGTTTCACCTAGCTCTAATTATACGCTGTGATCTGCTTAAAAGCATGTAGGAATTTTAATTTTGCGGTATATATTAATCTTAAAACCCTTTTGACTACTTCAAAAGTTTTATAGAAGGAAAAAAATCTAGCACATGTTTTCAGCTTCTTTTGGTGGAGTTATCTGGACTGGAGATGCAGGATAATCTAACCTCAGCAGCAGAACTGTGTCTTAAGGTCTACTAAAATGATCCCATTTATAAACAGCCAGAACTGAAGGGACCAATGAGAAACCGTGAACTTCTTAAGGCAGCATGGAACTACAAGGCTAGCCAAAAGAGAAGACAGCAAGACGCATTTTCTTATACGACTTCAATAGAGTTGCTCCCTCCCTGCATATAGCCCAAAACTAGGCAAAGTCCAAAACAACAGTTCCTCAATTAAAAGTAGTGACAACAGAGAAACACAGACTCATTTAGGTTGGAAGAGACCTCCCACACTTCCGTTTAAAAGTATATATGTTTAAAAAAAACCCATGATATTTTTGTAATCCAGGAGCCCATGAAGAAGTTACAGTTCGATGCATATAAATAAATTTTTAGAAGTTGCAAAGCATCCCCTCAGAACAGTACAGAAAGCAGTTGTACAGCTTAGCTCCCCTTCAGTATTATCTAGTCTTTACCGCTATGATAGTTAAGTAGATATTCTATGACCTTATCTAGATGTGAAGCCTTTGCAACACCGTCATCCATACTCAGCATGACGGTTCATCCCCACCAGGTCACAGGATCTAAACAAGGCCCAGATTAAAGCATTACTAGCTCCACTTTTTCAATAAAGCTTGTGCTTGCGCAGCCAGGAAAAAATCCCCCCAACTGTAAAAACTGTACAACAGGAGTGATCATCTTCAACCAAGAAATAAACAATCGTGGACGCTGCAGGAGGAGGCAAGTGAAGCTCCCCGAAAGGTGAAAGGAAAAAGCCTGACCCATTTCGCGGGGCGGTGGAACGGCCGAAAAGCCGTTCAAAACAAGCGACGGGCCGCGCCTGAAGGGACACGACAGGCACAGTGCCGCGAGGAGCGCGGCGGAGGGGAGAGGCCGGCGCCCCACCTCACCGCCCCGGGCGCCGGCTCTGCCCCCTCGGCTCAAGGGCTCTGCCTCTCCCCGGGGCTCGGGAAGAAGCCCGACGAGGCGCCCCTCGCCTCTCCGGCTACCGTAAAGCCTGCACCACTAGACACCAAGGCTTCTCCCCCAGAAACGGAGCTTGTATCATCTTCCCCAGCTGCCCCGCGTCACACGGCGAGCACACTGACAGCGCCAGGCGGCCGCGCAACGCGAGGCACCGCGGCACGACATTACGAGGAGCCTCTCCACAGGACACCGCCGCGCTAAGGCGGGAATAAGGCCCGGCTCCCCCCTCCGCTCAGAGCTTAGGACAGCACCGCTGCTACCCCCGCCGCCCGGTCCTCAGCCAGCCCGGGAACCACTCGGGAAGGAACAGAGCCACCAGAGCGCCAAACGCCTCCTCAGGCGCAGTCTAACGGGGGCAGGCGGCCAAGCCGCAGCGCTGCCGGTTGCCCTCGGGCCCCCTTCCATCACCTCCCTCACGCACTCACCCAACCGCCGCCGCCTCAGCCGCCCCCCGGGCCCACGGCG